CAACAACTCATAATAAAGCACGCCCTTGATATCCCACCAAATGCAGAGAAGAACCTTCTTTCCGAAGCGATTGAGTTTTGCCACCGATTTTGATGATTCGCCGGGATTTACCCATGATTTTCTGCATTTCGGATTGTCATAGAGTATCCATTTCTCATCGCCCGTAACGATTTTCCATAAGAAAGACTTTCGACGCTGCTTATTGAGAAGAGAAAGACACGCTGCCACTCGTTGATTTTTGTTGGTTTCAGTGAGTTCATGCGGTTAGGCATCCATTTTCCTTCTTTCTGGATCTTTCCCATCTCATGTAGGCGTTTGGAAATCGTTTGCTGCGTTACTCCCAACTGTTCTGCAAGGTCTTTTTGTGTTTGTGCCGAATTCTCAGCGAGCAGTTGTTCCAAATCATCATTATCGCACTTCGGAGGGCCTCCAGGGCGTTGTTTGTCGATTAGACTGAAATTACCGCTTTTAAACCGCTTAAACCAAAATGCGCACACATCGTACGATACAAAACCTTCACCGAGAAAGGAACAAATAGATTCGCACGCTCTTGCAGCATTTTTTCCTTGTTGGAATTCGTAAAGAATGCAGTGTCGGATATGCACCTTATGTGTTGCCATTTTCGACTGTACTGAACTGAATACTTTAGAGATGTCGCTTCCGAACGACATCTCTCAACGTTATCTAGGGAGAGGAGAATGTCGTGAGCGTGGAGTGTCAGGTAGCTCAGTGGTTTAGAGCAGTCGCCCGGCAAGCGAAAGACCCGGGTTCTATTCTCCCGGTCTAGCGACTAACCGCGCTCTCGATATTTTTCTCTCTTCGGAACGAAAATAAGATGCAGGTCCCGAACGCACGGCGTCCCGTCGCCACCTAGTATGCTCTCCTTCTTTCATGTTGGGCCTTTCGCCAAACTATATGTTCCTATTTAATAGCTATATGTCAACATTGCATAATCACAAAAGAGCGGGAAAATCTATTCAATTTAAAATTGATTTCATAACTGCTTAAAATAATTTGGATTATTCATTTGTACACCTAATAATTATTGATATTAATATTAGGAGGTTGAATTAGTTCTAGTTCTTAGCAATAAGTGGCTTTAATAACAAGTTAATGGTTAATTCGAATGTTGAAATTTGACAACATTGAAAGATTTGACATTTTTCTATGACGTATGATAGTTTGCGCGCTGTTGTTATTGATAGTTTTATTGTTTATACGCGTTTAAAATAAGTACAAAATTGCATTTTCAATATTTATTACTTTATTTGATTTAAATATCAGCAACAGAAGCTCATGAAATGCTTGTTACAACTTCTGGTGATCAAGCGCTATTCTATTCCAACTGTACATTTTGGTTTCAACGATTCAAAAGTAGTGATTTCGATTTGAGTGATAAAGAACGTACTGGTCAACAAAAAAAATTCGAAGATTCTGAATTGCAAGCATTATTGAATGAACACCGCTCAAACGGAAAAAAAATTGGTTGAACAACGTCGATAAATTAACAGTTTCTAAACGCCTATACGCCATGGGAAAAATTCAAAAGTAAGGCAAATGGGTCCCACATGAATTGAGTGAAAGTGTCATGGCAAATCGTTTGAATACCCTCATGTCTTTGCTTACCGAACAAAAAAAAGATTTTTTTATGGCGAATTATAATTGAAGATGAAAAGTGAATTTATTTTGGATTATAATCCAAAGCGGAAAACATCGTGGGTTAATCCAAAATCATCGACCATCAACATCGACACCAAAATCTATAATCTATTAAAAATAAAAAATATAAAATCTAAACTCTATGATTATGGAGTCTATTATTATTATTATTACTACTACTACTATTATTATTATTATTATTATTATTATTATTATTAAATCTAAAATCTATTATTGTTAATATGCGTCTGTACATCTCTCAATGAAATCAAGAACAACAACCCGATAACCATCCACACACGCACACACACACACTTCTCGCTTGTTCTCTCTTCTTTTTTTTATTCGAGTATCCTCTAATGACCCGATCTTTAAACGCATATTGCACCAATTACACTCGCATCGTACAGTCGCGCGCAATTCAAACATCTTGCTACTGTGATCAAAAAGTATCCGAACTTTATTTCTTAAAAATCGCAGATAAACTGTAAATCAAATCCGCTTATTTTCTTAAGTTGGTACACATGTCTTTCACATTTGGTAAAAAAATTATGGCGTTCCTTCAAGCCGTCTAAAAGTGGCAATTATTTATGTCAGTGAAGATTGTTGTGCACGGCGATTTTTACGATGTCGAAAAATATGGGAACAAAGAATTTGTTTGAAATTTTGTGTTTGCGAACGAAATTTCGTTCGCAAACGCATTCAAAATGTTGCAGAAAGCTTATGGCAATGATTGTTTCTCGAAAACAAGTACGTTTGAGTGGTTTAAGAAGTTTCAAGAAAGACGAGAATCTGTTGAAGACGACCCATACTCTGGAAGACCATCAACATTAACAGTTGATGCTCACATTGAGAAAATGAAAGAATTGGTGCTCCAAAATCGTCGATTGACTGTGCGAGAGATAGCAGATAAAGTTGGAATATCATTTGGATCGTGCCAGCACATTTTGTCCAAAATATTGGACATGAAACGAGTCGCATCGCGCTTGATTTCGAGAAACCTGAATTTTCTCCAAAAACTCAACGAATGTCGCCCCGCAAGCACCGTATTCACCAGACATGGCCCCCTGCGACTTTCTCCTGTTCCCCTTACTGAAAAAATCATTTCGCGGACGTTTCGAATCGATTGAGGACATCAAAGAAAAACCGCTGCATGAATTGAAGGCAATTCCGTATTGCCGCGTATGAGCGATGTTTCAAAGACTGGATCAAACGCTGGCATATCGTATATGTGTTACAAGTAATGGGGACTACTTTGAAGGAGACTATAAGAATCTTGACGATTGAATCTATTATAATTTTTAAATTGTAAAATTTTAATTTTTAAAAATAAAGTTCGGATACTTTTTGATCACAGTAGTAATTTTCTTACATACGGTTACAAAGTAATATTCTGTATTTAGTGGAATATGAAGGGTGTAGTATACTATAAGCTCCTGAAACCGAATGAAACAGTTACAAGGAAGTGATATCAGCAATAATTGAACAAATTGAATGATGAATTGATGCAAAAAAAGCCAGCAATAGCCAGCAATAGACGTAAAGTGATTCTTTTGCACGATAATATTCGTCCACATGTTACTTCAATCGTTAAACAAACATTGTTAGAGCTCGAATGGGAAATCTTTCCGCACCCAGCATACTCCCCAGCACCATCTGATTACCATCTATTCCGATCGATGCAACACGCTTTGGCAGATACACATACGAGGATGACAGCTGATACTGCCAATTACGGTCTGGGGGGAATTAATGCACAAATGTGTTAACATTCAGTGTTTCCCGCAATCATCTTCATCATCGTTTTGAATTCGAGAGTTGCGTGTCGAAGTCAGCAGTTTTCACGATGTGGAAGTTGTAAAACTTAATTTGCTCGCAACCACAATGTACATAAAATCGGAAACATTGGACAATTTATTTAATCTCCAACGCTACATTGATCATATATATTCTTAGCTGTGTGAGATTACGCATCTGATTGATGCAAAATTTAGAAAATTTTCGAACATTATACAGCAGAAGAACATGCACTCTGATGAGTGCTATGCGTCAAAAACCTTCAACTGCATGTACGCGGCGAAAGCGATACGCGACAGTGAGAGTACAATCGAGATTCACTTATCGAACGCGTTGTTGATGTCGAATGAGCTGTTGATGTGTGCTCTGAAAGATATTATACGTAATGCTGTTGGTAAATAAAATAATGTTGAGTAAGTGAATCATGCAACAATTTTTTTCAACACGTTGGCACATTTCTGGCATGACTTCATTTCGCACGACTGTTATTTTACATTGAATTATTTTTTAAAATGCAAGATAGCATATGCACAAAGTCTCATTTTTTCTTTATTAGACGCCTTTTCGGAACCTAATACGATTCACTGTCCTGATATCACGTGGCTTACAGTGAATTACAGTGTCAAATTACACTTTTTGATATGCAGCAACTTTAAGTACGCATAAAGATTCCTCCCATCCCTTCACAGTAATAATAATTAAATCGGCGGTCGCGGACCGCCGGAAACCGCGGAGCGGACTGCGAATCGACCGCGGGGTGGTGAATTTACGTAGGGGGCGGCCACGGGTCCCAATCAGTAAGATTATTAAAAATTATCTACCGTGCATGTCAATAAAGCAGACATGCTAATTAGATTCAGTGGATAACCATGAGTGTTGGGGGAGGGAGACGCATGTTGATAAAAAATAATTATTTCCAAATCAGGGGGTCGATAAAAAAAGGTATTACCCGATTATATGGCCGGGTGCCAGGAATACGGCCAGAGGGGCATCATCTGAGATGGCCAGAGCATACGGTGGAGGGGAAGAGGATATACGGCCAGGTAGTCGTGTTAACAATGCTGACTCAGCGTTTTGGGTTAGAACCTGCCTACTACACCTACTGTATCGTAATCTCGCTGTTCTTATTTAATTATGACTTGCGAGCTTATCTTCACAAGATCCACATTTTACGATAGTTAAAGCAATTGACTCGCTATGCGTAATCGTGAAATTCAGTACATTCGATTCCAGTTGTTCGGGCAGACCTTTCCCTTTTTTATTGCGTACACATATTCCAGCAGTTGCACATTTGCTTCTTTATCTCCGCGTTGTAGTTAAGGAGAGACCGGGAACACGCTCAGGGAAAGAGAGGATAATTTTTCTTCGCTTCACATCAGCTTCCAAAATGGAAGATTAACCTTTGCTTGCGAATAGAAACGAATATAATTCACCGTCACTAATGTAATATTAAAACCTGATACATCGTATTGATATATTATTCACACCTATCTCTTAGTATATACGTGCATCTTGCAAGATAAAAATGTAGCAACGTGCGCGAACATAGCATCAGCGTGTAGTAGCAGCTCCATCACCTGTAGTATCGTGCTATTATCCCTCACTGTTTCGCCTCTGCATAAGCGTGAGACGATCACTCCACTTCGCAATATTGCACTCCTGTCGCAAGAAAGGAAGAAAAGAATTGAGAGAAATACAGTGATACGTCGGGGTGATAAAATTCTCACGTTTCTCTAATCAACTGAACCGCGCTTACAAAATATTTTACCAAGTAAACGATCAATTAGACGATCGAGACTTCTTGATTTCACAATCAACGAGAAGAAAAAGATTAACAAAAGCCAACACAAGATCTCACTCTCGCGAAAGCCACTCGATCTCGAAGATAAAATCAAAAATGGAGCGCCAAATGAATTCTTAGAAACATTATCAACATGGGCGCCGTTTGTAGAAGTCGATTAGGTGGTCTGTTCTTGATTTTGTTTCATTTTCGCGATTCCGAAGATTTCGTAACAGCAAGATCTTGGTTGGCTCTTATTGGCTTTTTTCTCCTTGTCGACCAGGTGTTACGCTCAGTATCCAATCAATGTAGTGCCCAAATACGCATATAGACAGCTGGTTTGTCGGTAGCGCAACCAACTCCGGAAGATATAATGCCGACTAGCACACTATTATGCATGATAGGATTCTCCCAAATCACTGGCCCGCCACTATCTATCTGCAGAAGGTTCGAAAATTAAAATATGGCACGATTGCGCAATGCCCGTGGCGCCGAAACGACATTGTACTCGCACTATGTCAACACGGTCAACTTGTACACAATGAACTTGAATAATCGTAAAAGATACAGTGAAGTGAACAAATAATTGGAGTGTTTTCCTGTCCCTCTCACTGGTTCTCTATTGCCACTCGTACAAACGCGACTTTAGACGCGTCTTTAGACGCGATCGATTATACCTTGGGGACACGGCAGTATCGTCAATGACTGTATCACATAATTCAATACGATGACCTACGGACGATTTCTCCCCGTAAAAGAAGTCCCGTTCCCTTACCTGACAAGCGTCTTTCCTCGGGGTGTAAGTGCACATGTTACCGTCTGTTATGTCAGGATATGCTCGCTTGCAATCCGTACGATTGATTACGTTCAACTTCACTTTGTACGGTTTAGTCAGCTTTGCACAGCCAAGGCTCGTTCGGCCCCATCCTGATTGTTGAGAAGGGTTAAAACGAATAGTAATGTGCGATAAGGATGATCAGATGATACGAGTACTAACCCAACGCCGTCACTATAGAGCCGTGAAATGAGTCGCGACTATTCTGGAATGGCAAACAATCTGGACCGACTTGATCATTATATGTTATCGAGCTAATAATTTGACAAACAGCTATGTCGTTCTGCTTGTTGTCAGCATGTTCAGGATGTATCGTGCACTTGCTTATGCGGTATAACATGGTCGCATTGGTTTCAACGGCTATTTGGAGAATAACATCAAATCTCGTGCATTAAGGCGTATTATACATAATATTATGTTATTTACTACTTTTTACTGTTTTTTTCCTCAATTTATGTTTGCGAAAATACTTTATTACGTAACATAGGTTTCTAAGAATAATTTCTAAAATTAAAAATATTACGTTAAGCTGTAATATATATTTATTATTGATGATAATGATCCGCATCCTTCACTAAGAAATTCAAATTCTCCTGCGAATATTTAGAACATACAAACGCGCTGCGTTTGTCCAGAATACATTTATTTTTTCAGATAGATAAATTGTCGAAAAATATAGCCCGCGTTGCATACAACAATTTCCTCGCGCTTGTATCAGATCTAAGACAGAACTGCGCGACCTGATTCGAGACTATCGTGATCGTTAAAACTTGCTTGGATCTCTCATTTTGAAGGATTATGAACTCAACGTAAATTTGAACTCAATTTTACCTGTACTTGTATCATGTTCGCCGATAATTACACCAAGCTTTCCAAGATCTCTGCCCTTTACACAATGAGCGGCTGTTATTACGTGTTCCGTACTTATTATGGTCGCGCCGCAATGTAAGATTCTTTCGACGCTATCAACGAGACCAGCCATCATTGGAAATTCGTTTACACTGGTTTCCGTTGCAGCCAAATTTAGCTGGAGCCTAAATAAATAACGAAAAGTAACGACAGAGCCTTTCCGCACATAAATTTCGCACGTTGTTTGCAGTCTCTTAGTCGCGTTAATGTATCTCTGAATGATTTTTCACCGTACAAAAAGTCTCACAAAGTAAAGCATACGTACCGGGGTCTTCCAGCCACATCTGCCGGTTTTCCTATTCGCAATTTACACAAAAATTTACCTCCTTCCGTATAATATTGCGAATTGAAATTGATAGTTACATTCATTCCCTCGTTTTCGAAAGTACCCTTACCGCAATACCTATCTATTTTTTGCCCAGCAAATTGGATCGAAAGATTGTCGCCAGTACAAAACTCTACAAAATATCGCAATAAACCATTGAATTTCCTTCCTATTCTGCTTTTAATGACTTGGTTGTTCGTATAAACACTGGACTTAAATTTGGTCGTTAGATTAGGACATTCAAATGTATCCAGCTAAAGAGTGTCCCAAAATTCACGCAAGAAGTAATTTTGATAGAAAACACAGTTTTATAATTAAAAATTGCAAATTTTTTAATGATTCATAATGTATACAGTATAGGGTTATGTATGGAATAGCATGTCGGGTAAATGGCCTCCACGGCTTTGCTGGCACATATGCACTCTTTTGTTGAAATTTTCCATGACCGTTTTGCATAAATGTGGCTGAATTTCGTTGATACAGCGCTCAATTTCCTCCTTTAAGGCGTGGGTGGTCGTCGGCTTGTTGGCATAAACCTTAGACTTCAAAATACCCCAAAGAAAAAAGTCCAACGGCGTTAAATCGCATGATCTGGACGGCCAAATCTAATCACCAAAACAGGAAATTACACGACCACGAAATGACTCATGCAGTAATTGAATTGTTCCTCGGGCTGTATGGCATGTGGCACCGTCTTGTTGAAACCACATGTCGTCCACATCCATATCTTGCAATTTAGACATAAAAAACTGGTTTATCATGTCGCAATAGCGAGCACCATTAACTGTTGCTGTCTGACCAGCCGCATTTTTGAAGAAAAATGGTCTCCGATGATCTCCAGCCCAAAATTCGCACCAAACAATGACACGTTCTGGATGCATTTGTTTCTCAACAATCACTCGGGGATTTTCTGAACTCCAAATGCGAAAATTTTGTCGATTAACCAAGCCATCAAGATGAAAATGAGCTTCATCGTTGAAAATGATTTTGTTCGAAAAATCAGCATCCACTTGTTATTGTTCCATAATCCATTCAACGAACTCTCTTCGCTGTGGCCGTTTACCCGATATGCTATTCCATACATAACCCTATACTGTATACTTTATGAATCAATAAAAAATTTACAATTTTTAATTATAAACCTGTGTTTTCTATCAAAATTACGTCTTACGTGAATTTTAGGACACCCTTTAGCTTCACTCCTAAAATGCGTGATCACGAACGAAATATCTTTGCAGTGTATTTACAACTCACCATGGACATTTCCAGTGTACAATTAATTTTCATGGTATAAGGGCTATATGTTCTCCACGTGCATTGCTCATTTCCCCTTTATCGGGACACTCTTGGTTATATATATAATACGATTCTCCAGGTTCCATGTTTTGAAAATAGTTGCAGTCTGACTGGGCTTCACTCAGCGTCAAAAAAGACAGCAATAGACCAAATGTTACCACTTTGACTAGAACGAAATAATGTTCCCGTAATCATACCGTCGTACATGTGCGTATAGATCCTCTTAAAATTTAATCTTAACTATTTTTGCTGAAACAACAATCTAACTTAACCGTTATGACATGCAGCTGGTTATCCAAATTTTGCGTCAAGTTTGTTGGGATCGATACTGAACTAGAAGATCTACTTGGCGTACTTCGCTCAGCACAGTTATACTTACGTTCAAGATCGCGGAAAAAATAAATCTATAGGCATACCGAAGTATAACTTTAGATGCAAAGCACAGATATTATTTTCCGATTGAATCTCTCAAATTTGTTTTCAAAACATCGAGGAACGTTTAATTACCACTTTCATGTCATTTTACGAATTTATTCAAGCCACGTCGGAAAGTTTGCAAAATTTCCTCGTTGAATGTGTTCAAAATCGCGTCATTTGCCACGAGTTACGAAGAAGATGCAATTTGGTCGACACGCCGGCCGTATTGTCACTTTTACGTAATTTATCGGAACACATATCGCACGTATTTCTCCCCGTAGGTGCCAAAAGCACTCGAAATACCTTCTCGCATGGTATCTCCGTTGAATGACTGCTAGCGGAACGATTCCTGACCTATTCTGGAACGGACGCTTCAAGAGAGAAGCCAGCTATATTGTCCCGGCAAACAACCGCGCGCGCGGCAGAAGAAACGTTTGCTTTTATCCTGACACGAAGATAAAGCAAAGCCGAAATTGATAGTACCTCGCGAGCTACTTTATCTCACAGTTACAGTTCGCGAGAGGATCTGTTACTTTTGGAACAGTACAAATACGAACTTGCGAGTTTGACACGGCATACACGCCAATCGCATATTTCAAATGCGAGCGCGATGAGACGCTTTTTACGCGGTCCCGTCGTTGTCGGCGTGACCGTGAACGAGATTCGAACAAAAAACACAATTCTTGCTCAAAATAGTTGCTCGTATCAATGATGTGAGTCTCGGAGACACTTACTTCCCGATCATATTGAGTTTTGAAGTGTTATCTTAACGAAATTACCAGCTATAATTCTTCGGTCGATAAACAGCTGAAAACGGAAAAATTTCCACGCAAATTGCATCTTCAAATGCAAAACAACGCTCTTTGAAAAATTTCACGTTACTTCATTTGGAAGAGATTTTGATTATTTGAAACGTCGAGCCACACGCCAATCTCTATTGATCGTACAAAAGATCAATTGATTGAATTACTAAAGATACGCGGCAAACAAATCTAATTCGACGTGTGTTCAACTTTTACTTTATTTCTATGGACATAAAAGCGACTGAAAATCCCTTGCTGTTTTTTCCATTATCGAAAAGTGTCTTGAATCATTATCCTCGGCCATAAATGTGAAATGTCTTTCTCCTGGTGAAACAGATGACAAAGAGGAACGCATTTCATTTGCTCCGGTAAATAAATTGTGTAAGGCCGTCCCTTTGCCGTCTTGGAACTTCGATCGACGTCTTTAACATTTCGAATCGAGCAAGTTACGAATCAAAGGTATCGCTTCTTCCGAAATCTTCGCCGCTCGAGAGACCGTACTTTAAGAGATGTTACAGTTTACGCTGTCACAACGGAATTCAAGATGAAATGCGCTAAGATATATTCTCATATCATGTCATTAAATTACAGATTAGGTACTACATTATTTACTACAACACTCGTGCTCGCAAGTGCGCCTTCCTTCGTTAAATTCCGCAATAATAAAAATTTATCACCGTCAGATTTGAAAGAGATCTCTCTTTTTCTATATATGTCTCACTTTCTTGCTCTTTTTCTGTGTATGGTTGTAATTTCCACATTTTTCTCATGCCCCGGCAGAAACGAAAAGAAGACATTTCTCGGGATCGATGTTCCGACGAAGCGTCAACATGTAGCACCTATCTGCTCTCAATATGGCGAAACCCGGTTTATCTCTCGAAATAAATACGTCTTTGAGTGATTTCGCGCGACAGTCACATATAATCGCAATTAAAAATAGAAAGAGAAGAAGGAATAACACGATAAAACATACATGAAGGCATATGCTCGATATTCGGAAAATAAATTAATGTGTAATTCAATGAACTATCCTTCGTGTCCTCGAGTCCTTCGTGTGTGCATACGGGAAAATGAGGGAAGTTGGCTGTGTGAACAAAGTTTTCGGTTTATCAAGCTTAGCGGACCGTCAAACTTTGATATACAATGATGTTGGGCAAAAGCGGACACGATGCGCAACGTAACTTAGTGATAATTGCTGTTATTAAACTTCTACGTCCTACACGGAGCTAAGGAATACACGAGCGCACGTTCAAACACTGTCTCCGACAGATAGATAGATTCTTTCCCCTTGATAGGTTGTAACACAACAAACGGAACGCAAATACTTGACACGCTAAATGATTTTCGGTAATATAGTAAGACATGAAGTAACCAGTTTCGTAAACGATTGGCTTTGAATATGGAATTTTTACGTACACTTCATCTTCTCAGGAAACACCCAACGAAGTTGCTATGCCGAGACACACTTGCCTGCACTGACAAGTAACTTTTGCAGATCAAACAAGTAACTCGCACCTACTACATGGGCTGAAAAGTCATTGGCTTAACAATGAAAAAACGATTTTTTTAATGAAAAAAGTGTTTTATTCCTCAACATAATCTCCATTTAGAGTAATGCACTTAGTGTAACGGTCCGCTAACATTTCGATGCCGGTCTTATAGTGCTCGGTGTCAAGTCCCTCAAAATAGGCATTTGTTTTCAACTTGACCTCCTCATTCGAGTAAAATCTTTTATCAGCGAGCCACTGCTTCAGTCGGGGAAAAAGGAAATAGTCGCTGGGGGCCAGGTCTGGAGAATACAGGGGATGCGGGACCAATTCATAGCGCAATTTCTTTAATTTATCGGTCGTATCGCGAGCCGAGTGAGCTGGAGCATTGTCTTGGTGAAACAAAATTTTTTTCTTTGCCAAATGTGGCCGTTTGACCTTGACCTCGTCGTCCAATCGATCCAGTAATGTACAGTAATATTCTTTATTGATAGTTTTACCATGTTCAAGATAATCAATGAATATTATGTTATGCGCATCCCAAAAAATACTGGCCAAAACCTTGCCGGCTGATTGTTGTGTCTTCGGGCGCTTCGGACGGCTTTCACCAGGCAATAACCACTCCGCTGACTGCCGATTGGACTCCGGTGTGTAGTGATGGATCCATGTTTCATCCATTGTGACAAATCGACGCAAAAACTCCTTCTTATTGCGGTTAAACAGGACCAGATTTTGCTTTGAAAGTCGAACACGTTCCGCTTTTTGCTCAATTGTCAAAAAACGCGGCACCCAACGCGCGCAAAGCTTTTTCATGTGTAAATATTCATGAATGATATGACCAACGCGTTCCTTTGAGATGCCTATGATGTTAGCTAGCTCACTCAATTTCATTTTGCGGTCATTCAACACGATTTCACTGATTTTCTGGATGTTTTCTGGAGTAACTGCCTCATTTGGCCTTCCTGAACGTGGTGCATCATTTGTGCTCGTACGGTTACGACGAAACTCAGCAAACCAATATTTGATGGTTGAATTCGGTGGGGCAGATGTGCCGTAACATTTATCAAGCCATGCCTTTGCTTCAACAGTGTTTTTTCCCATCAGGAAGCAATGTTTAATCAAAACACGAAATTCACTTTTTTCCATAGTAAAGATAAATTCAGAGGTAACGTCACTTCGAAAGCTATAACTTGTACACGAGTCAACGAAATATCATGAAATTTTTACAGCATCTAAGTTAAGGTTGGTACTCTATAGGAAATATAAGGGTTTTTAGTTTGTGGCGCCATCTATATGTCAGGCCAAAGACTTTTCAGCCCATGTAGTACATATGAAGTATATCGTGTCAAGCGTTTCCAAGGCAGAGTACGCAAAAGCGCAATTGTTGCTCGATTCTAACATTTTGCATACATTTGTGATAACACGCCGTCACTTGTTTCTATTATTTACACCTCCATTTCGTTTTTATTTTTACATGCATAACAATACGATAAACAATGTTGCTAGAAGCGATAAATGAATAGACTATCGCAGTAACGACTTCTTATTCGAGACACACATCAAATATAGTTTTAACATTGATATTTGGAACGAGTTATTTAGAATTTTTTATTTTTCTCTATTATCTTACCTCATTATTATTTATTTTACGTTTATGTAGCGTAATAAATGAGCGTACTGGAAGCATCTTCGCACGTATGAAGAAAATGTATACAATCGGATGCGTTAAAATGCGATGATGACCGTGCAGCCCATTGAATTATTTCGTTCTTTGTGAACACCCGAACAAATGGAAACGATTGCTAACTAATAATTAGTTATTTAAGCAGAAAACTAACACAGTAATATTACAGGGTAGATTCGATCGTCGAATATAATCGCACGCACGCACCTCGTCGCGATAGTTGCACTGCGAGAATCTCGCGCTGTTGTACGAACCGGTATTAATATTTATGGTGACACACGGTGTATGGACGACGAAACGTGCCGCCTGCGTGTGCGTATGTGTATGCACGAGATAAACACAATGCAACATCGCGCCCGCAAAACGGCAGCATTCGCCGCAAATTTATTTAGGACGCGTCCGCAACTCTCGTTTTGCTTATTAATATTTCGCTCGTGTTACGTGTGCACACGCGCTGTGTTAACTTTATGCTCGAGTCGATTTTTTTTGAATTTTTTAAATTTCGTTCGCTCTCAAAAAGACTCAAATCAGCGATCCCGGGGAGAGATGGATCAGCGTGTCAGGTCACGGTATAAAAAACAGAAACATATAAACAGAACGCAGATATGAACGAGATGCGTGACAAAGCAATATTTCCGTCGCTGGTGTCGAACTACCTTGTTCCATCGCGAATATTTTCTCAACTATCGACGGTTTAATTAAAATTCCGCATGGGCGAGGAAACAAGCGTCGAAGGTGCTGGTCAGCGCGAATTTGCGCGAGCGAGCGCACGTTGGGAAAGCGCCGTGAACACGCGCGGCCATTATCGCACCGTTTACAGCTTCACGATCAACGTTACTTATTGAATGGACCAAAGTGCGTTAAGACGCGCGTATCGGTCGTGTACTTTAAATAATGTATGAGCTGCGCGCGAAATCCCGCGCATACGTACGTATGCATTTACACGCGTATGTACATTTCGAGCGCGCCGGGTCGGCGCTACTTGTAGTTGCAGCTACACGGATGCTGGACGTACGACCCCCGGGTGAATCGATGGAGCACCCCCTCGCCACCCAGTCACCTTCAGTCTCTGCCTACTCCGTGGCCTCCTCATTGGCATACCTCTCGCCCTTTCCCTCCGCAGCATTCATTTCGCTTTTTCTATCTTCTTTTCTCCCTCTTTCTCTCTTTCTCTATCTCTATCTCTTTCTGTTTTCATCCCTCCGTTTGTCAATCTTTCTCTCTCTCTCTCTCTCTTTCCCTCTCTCTCTCTCTCTCCCCCTCTCTCCCTCTCTCTCTCTCTCTCTCTCTCTCTCTCTCTCTCTTTCTTTCTTTCTTTCCTTCATACCTCTCTTCATTCCTCTCTCTTTCTCTGTCTCTCTTTCTGCAATTTGCACCCTCGCAGTCTCCGCGTCTTCGAGCTCATCCCGAAACTCTCCGCCTGGGATTTTTTTCTTTCCAAAGAATCGCAAATCCTGCCCTTTCTCTCTCACTCTCCCACTGCCTCTTTCTCCTCTTGCTTGCCAATTTCATCCATCTTTCCTCACCTGTCCTTTCCTTGCGCAACTCATGCGCGCTGTTGGGGGCTCGGCCCTTCCTTCGTGTAACCTCCGCAATGTATCGCTCACTCTCCGTCGCTACCACCAGCCTCGTTTCTCTTCTTTGAGAGAAAGAAAGAGAGACCCGCTGTATCCTTCTATCTTGCTCCATCTCCGCGGCGAACCTTCGTGCCACCGATGCTCAACTTTACGCTATCTCTTTATGTTAGTTCTCAATCCGTTCGACTTGACAAAGTACAGATCAGTGGTGGTAGATAGCTGCCCCTGCCGATTAATGCCACCGATAACCCGCGGCCTTTTCTGCATTATCTTATACACGACGGTACGTTCAATTATCAGATCAAATTATCAGATTTGGACGATCAGACATTAACAAAACCAAAGCTGCGCACGTATCAAAAGTGGGTCGAAGTAACGTGAGATATTAAAATCGCGGGACGTGGCATTTGGGACAAAGTGCGACTTTTTTGTCTTTAAACGTAACTCGTGGAGAATATTGACGGTTTGAATTTCGCCGGAGAAATTTCGCGCATTTTTCCATCGATAAAGCACAGACTAAGCTAGTGCGACGAACTTCTCCGAGTGAGTCGCGCACATGCTACCCGCGAGTGAGCCCCGGTCAATCGACGCGTTTCTCTCATCAAGATGCAATATGTCTCACTGAGAAAAGAGGTTTTGTTGGGTCAACAAAACACCTGTAACCGCAACAAAACGTTTGTTAATGTAGGATAGCAAATGATTCCTACTGGTATTGTTATGTTAATCCAACAAATCATAAATTTTTGATTTGTTGGCAATACAGGGTTGGAAAAGATTAGAAATTATGTATAGGCAAATCAGTTGTATTAACTCTTCTTCACCAACGTATAATATACGTATAATATACATAACACATAATATACACGGGTGTCCTATTTTAATGTTCCATCCCAAATAACTCTTCACTATTGAAGTTTCAAGGAAAACAATCTGAATAAAAGTTGTAGGGATTTAAGTCAGCTATCTTATGATGACCTTGACTTTGACCTTGACCTCTATTTTCAAGGTCATTTGAAGGTCAACGCGTTGCGTTTTTTAAATGGGAATCCTTGGGTTTTTATTACACTGTTTTTTCTACTAGTTAATTTAAACGACTTTTGTCTAAAATATTTTTTTATTTGTCTAATATTTTTTGAGATATTTGAGGAAAACTTGATAACTTTTTCAATATTTAACTTACGATATCTCGCTAACTATTTGTCGGAAGAAAAAGTGGTACTAGACTTCCTTGCTTTATTTAGTCTCAAGAATATATTGTTACAATAGCGCCTTGATTTTTGTTAACTTACTGATTTTTGGAAATTTCAAAATCATCAAATCAAGCGAGATATCGTAAGTTAAATATTGATAAAGTTTTCCTCAAATATCTCAAAAAATATTAGACAAATAAAGAAATGTTGTAGACAAAAGTCGTTCAAATTAACTGGTAGAAAAAACAGTGTAATAAAATGTAAGGGTTCCCATTTAAAAAAACGCAAGTTGACCTTCAAATGACCTTGAAAATAGAGATGAAGGTCAAAGTCAAGGTCATCATAAAATAGCTCACTTAAATCCCTATTATTCAGATCATTTTCCTTGAAACTTCAATACTGAAGAGTTATTTGGGATGGGACATTAAAATGGGACACCCTGTATAGCAAAATACGTAAAATATTATACTTGGTGAAACCACGCATGCAATGCGCGTATCATAATTACCAGATAATTCAAATGTACTCCCTTTACATCTAATAAAACATTGGTAGAGAAGAGATATTAGCAAAATAATAACTCTATGTGCGTGTTTTGCAGGAATTCGGGAAAAGAAATAAGGTAAAGCATTATTACACTATTCTTTATTTTTAGCACGACACTTTAATTTTATATAAAATTAATAAATTATTAGATAAGGTTAAGTAAAGTTAAGGGGAATATACATGCAAAGGATCGTACTGTAAACGTATTTTTATCAATAAGAAAGTCTGTAAAAGTGGTTCGTAGCTACTTAAAAAAGCTTATAAATTACTTTAAGATATGCTTTTATCTATACAGGGTATTCGAGATCTCATGCAAACGAAAAATTGTGAAAATTAATCAGATTAAACTGAAAAGAAAAGCCAAGTACCATTTTGCAAAAATCACAATAGTTATTAAGTTATTAATGATTGAAAATGACCACATCTAGAAGCTCTTCTAATTGATAACTTGAAAATTTGCATATTTATTTGCTAAATGGTAAAAAAGACAAGTTCAAGATTCAAGGTTCAAACTACAATATATTCATATCTATCGCTAGACACAATAACCGTCATACAATTACAGATTAGGTCATTCTGAACAAAAGTTTTTTGACCATTTTGCAAATAAGTATGCAAATTTTCAAGTCATCAATTAAAAGAGCCTCTAGATGTAGTCATTTTCAATCATTAATAACTTAATGACTATTGTGATTTTTGTAAAATGGTACTCGATTTTTCTTCTCACAAGGAACATCTGCGAAATGTATGACTCCTTTCGATTCGATTTCGATGAATCTTGGCACATTTGTAAAGTAGCTAAAAATAAAAGATTTATATTTTTTTATCGACAATGGCTCAGGTTTAAAGGATGAAACTGTCCCTCAAAGTTTCATTTCCTTTATTCCATCTTGATAATTATTGCAAATAGAAAAAAACTTTTTAAACAAAAATTGTATGGTTTTTTATGCCGTTAAAATCGAAGACACATACTTTGCGGATGTTCCTTGTCAGTTTGATCTAGCATTCCTTCGTATCTTTATGTTTTTCTGTAGTAAACGACTTTTTCAATAAAACATTTTTATGTCCGAACTCCAGTGACTTCCTGCATATATTCCGCTACATCATGTTTATTCATGATTTTTCAACCACGTTCGGCAAACGTGGCTGATAAATTTTCCTGTATTTTAAACATACTTCAGATAATAATTCTAACTTCGAAGCTACTTTGTTATTAAGCTTTTATTACACCTATAACTAAACTAACGATAAACACAATGGAAATAAAATATGACAAAGATAAAAGCGACGCCGATTCTTTATATCGACCTTCGCGGTTGATGATACGTACATACCAATACCAGGTATGTAAATATGAAACCGGAATTTTTGTATAGAAAATACACGTTTATTGTATGAAAACGATAAAAAATATTTTATTCGAAGTATTGCCCATCGCTAGCTATACATTTTTTTCACCTGTCTGGTGGATGCCACGCCAAAAAAACTGTTGCTCTTTTGAGGCAAACCAATCATCGAGCCATTTTCGTACATTTTCGTAAGAAGTGAAGCGCTGCTCAGCAAGTGCGTGTCCCATCGACGCAAATAAGTAGTAATCGGACGGAGCCAAGTCTGGTGAGTAAGCCGCATGCGAAAATGTTTCCCAACTAAACGCCTCAATCGTTTCCTTCACCAGTTTTGCTGTGTGTGATGGAGTATTATCATGAAGCAAAATCACTTTGTGTTGCCTTTTTTGATATTCTCGTCGTTTTTCACGCAAAGCTTGATTCAAATCGATCATTTGTTGTCGGTAGCGTTCAGTATTAACGGTTTCGCCAGGCCAAGTTTTAGCAGCTCATAATAGATCACACCCTTCTGATCCCACCAAACACAGAGCATTGTCTTCCGTCCATAGCGATTTGGCCTTGCAGTCGATGTCAATGGTTCGCCTGGAGTTACCCATGATCTTTTACGCTTAGGACGCTTTTCAAAATATATCCACTTTTCATCGCCAGTCACAATTCGATGGACAAATGACTTTCTTTTGTACCTGGCGAGCAGCATTTCGCAAGTGGTTTTTCGGTTTTCCTGTTGTCTTTCATTTAGTTCATGTGGAACCCATTTTCCCATCTTCTGGATCTTTCCCATGGCTTTCAAACGTATGGAGACGGCTTCTCGTGTCACATTTAATTGATCCGCGAGTTGTTGTTGCGTTTGAGCGTCATCCTCATCCAATAATGCTTGCAATTTGCTGTCTTCAAACTTTTTCGGTGGTCTTCCACGTTCTTCGTTTCTCACGTCAAAATCGCCACGTTTGAATTTTTTAAACAACTCAAAGCACTGTGATTTACCAAGAGCATGCTCACCGTAAGCTTCGACAAGCATTCGATGCGATTCTGCAGCAGTTTTCTTCAAATGGTAACAGAAAATCAATGCTGTCTGCAATTCGTAGCTTCCAGGCACAAAATTCGACATGTTCAACGCTATTACAAACTATGCTGTTGTATGAAACTTGTATTATGAGTTGAAAATCTTTGTCAGATGTCAACAAATGGAAATGGCGCCAATGACGCGGTTTGACGGTAACTATTAGGTTGTTGCAGATGAAATAGCCATTTTTTAATTTTTAATTTAAATTTTTATTCGACACACTTTATATACATCTCGTCAATCGAAATAGTCTCCCTCCACCTCAATACACTTCCCCCAACGTGATACAAGCGCATCAATGCCTTTCACGTAGAAATTAGAAGAGCGAGATGCAAGAAATTCGTTGAACGCATTTTTCACGTCGCTTTCTGTTTGGAATACCTTTTCACTTAAAAAGTTATCCAGATGCTTAAACAAATGGTAATCAATTGGAGAAAGGTCAGGAGAATAAGGAGGGTGAGGGAGAACTTGGCATTTGTATTCTGTTAATGTTTTTACAGTTTTCTTTGCAATATGCGGTCTAGTATTATCATGGAGCAATAACATACCGCGTCTATTTAATAACGCCGACTGTTCAATATGCAGTTTTTCCATCACAATGTCAATTTCTTGGCAATATTTGTCAGCATTTATAGTTTCACCCTTTTTCAAAAACGAGAAATGCACAATACCCTTGGCAGACCACCATACAAATACCATAAGTTTACGTGGATGAAGGCTCGGTTTCGGCATGTGTTTCGGAGCTTGATCAGCATCTAACCACTGGGCAGAACGTCGACGATTGTCATAAAGAACCCACTTTTCATCACACGTTACTATTCGATTCAATATTCCTTCATTATTGTGTCGAGAAAGCAAAGATGAGCTGATTTCCATACGGCGAAGCTTGTCTCTCTCAGTCAGTTCATGTGGTACCCATTTGTCAAGCTTTTTCACTTTCCCCATAGCCTTTAGGTGTCGGGAAACAGTGGAATAGTGAACGTTGATGCTATGTGCAATATCTCGAACTGATAAACGCGAGTCTGCTTCAACCATGTCTTTAAAAACATTGTCATCAATCACTGATGGTGCATGGCCGCGAGACAAATTGTCGAGATTTGTATCACCAGACCGAAACTTTTCAAACCAACGTCTAATGGTTCGATCACTTAGAGAACCTTCCCCAAAAGCAGTGTTTATGTTTCGCGTTGCCTCGGCCGCACTATGACCAAGTTTGTATTCATACAAGAATATTATCCGCATTTCCTTACTTTCCATGTCAAAGAGATAGCGATTTTCAACGATATAAACAATGTGATAAAAGTAAGGTTATGCGTGCGAATTTACGTGTGGGGCATATACTTTTCAAATATCACGCATGCAACGACAGCTGCATGAAAGGAGCTGAACTACTCGGCCAGGAAATTTGAATTTTGAAAACCGGCCATTTCATATGCAACAATCTAATACATTGACAGCTAGGGCCATCTATGGGCAAATTCGGGTTTCATATTTACAGACCTGATAGATAGTCATGTTGGATATTTTCAATTAAGAATAACATCATGTCACACAGGATGATTTTTTGGGAAAAATTGTGAAGATTAATCAGGTCAAACTGAAAAGAAAAGTCATGTACCACTTTACAAAAATGACAATAGTTATTAAGTTATTAATGATTGAAAATGACATCTAGAAGCTCTTCTAATTAATAATTTAAAAATTTGCGTACTCATTTGCAAAATAGTAAAGGACTTTTTTGTTCAGAATGACCTAATCTTCAATTATATGATGACTATTGTGCCTAATGACAGATATGAGTGATAGTGACAGTATAGTGAACTTTAAATTCTAAATCTTGAACCTGTCGTTAGGCACAATAGAATATAATCATATAATTGAAAATTATGTCATTCTGAATAAAGAATTCTTTTACCATTTTGCAAATAGTTCCTTTATCTTTATTTTCTTTTATTTTTGCAAATTTTTAAGTTATCAAGAAAAAGAACTTCTACATGTGGTCATTTTCATCCATTAATAACTTAATTATTGCGATTTGTGCAAAATAGTACATGACTTTCCTCTCAGTATGATCTGATTAATCTTCACAATTTTTCGTTTCCAAAAGATCCCGGACACCCCGTATATGAGAGTTCAGAATATGGACCATAGAAGAGTCAGGTATATGTGTATATTACGCTATTACGACGTTGTTACTTTTTTTATTTATTTTTTTTATTAAGAGTTGTATATCACAAATATATATTATACATATATGTTTGTGTACATCACAAACATATAATATGATTTGTATCTCCAGCAATATATATTTGTTAAGATTACAAAGAACGAAAAATAATTTGTCGCGGTAATTGTTTGATTTATTCCCCGTATAATTATCAAACAGCGAATGTTCATTTATTGTGACAACAGAAGTCTTTTTCTCAGTGCACACTCACGATATGCGATTCTCGCATAAGGAAGCAACGGCGTAATTTACGTATGAAAGTGGTTTATGCACTTCGTCGTCTTACGTAAATAGTGATAAACGAAAGAAATGCATAGCACATAACGAAATACAGTATATAATGAAATATATGTATGCAAGCACGAGAATGACAAGATCCAAATGTTATTCCGTTTATATGAAGCCTAAGTATAAACAGAGCGTCTCGCGCTCGTCGTTAAGTGTCGTTAGCATCTAAATAATCGGATAAGGTAAGCAGCTAAATATAAATAGATCTAAAGCAGCCAAGGCCAGCCATTACAAACGACGCCGCTTTTACGACGTATAATGTGTATAATAATCGTCGCGATAATTTTAACAAGAAAGGGAGATTCTGATAACCGGTGCGTTCATGAACTACGTTTTATACAGTCATTTGTATTTTGCTGCGAGATTCGGCGATATTTTACATTTGTCGAAATATGATCGATGCATTACAACGGAAAACCCGATTTTTCCGACGCTATCTATCCTTGTAAGATAAATTCGAATTTTCTTGTCTTTCTCTCCCCTTCTCTCTCCTCACGCACCACAAGTGCCGTTGGACACTCCTTGTTACATGCGATGATCCTCGCCGAAAATCCTTTAACTTACAACGCGCAACTCAGGCTCTCGGCGAGAGGAGCTTCCAATCGCAAAGTGAACAGCGAGCGTCTAGTAAATGGGACTGCATTGTCCGTTGACCCATTTAAGCCTTCCATAAGATTCCCCGAGTTATTACGGATCCTCCTATTGAATCGTCGTCTCTGCGGCGGAAGCGGTATCCTTTTCTAACGATTCTTTCCGCGCTGGGCAATCGCTTTTTCAATGCGATCAGTAAAGGTATCGACATAAAATATATAGATTGGTAGGCTTTGCCCGTAAGCTTCGTCGAAAAGGAAAGAAAGGAAGGGAGAGAGAGAGAGAGAGAGAGAGAGAGAGAGAGAGAGAGAGAGAGAGAGAGAGAGAGAGAGAGAGGCAGAAAAATATCGCTCGACGATCATTCCAATTATCCTCCCTAACGTTCCAATTTAATCGCTCTACGCAGAACATCGCAAAACTATCATGTAATAATTTAACGGAGCATCCTTGGAGCTCTTAATCGAAATCGAAATTCCTGTCACAAAAATGAAATCGAAATCGAGAAAATGGAATTTGTGAGACAATCGAAATTAGCATTGAAAATTGATATCGCGCAGACTTTCAGACGATCAAACTTACAAATATGTAAAATTTACGCGTAACGATTTAATTAGCGATAATCTTCTTATCACGCGACAATTTTCATTTTTTTCTGTATTTATATCTTGTTTAGACCGAATAACTCATCGGACTCTGTCGTTGCAATTAATCAGAAAAATTATTCCTGATTCAAAATCTATCGGAATTTGTGACTATTTGCACCACAAAGGCAAAGGTAGTTCCCATGGATGCAGATTGCAGAAAGATCCGATACGAGCCGGGCAGAATCGGATCGGAGGCTAATTGGCAAACTCTCTATATTTCACTCCTTAATCCTTCGTTCTCGAAAGTTAGTGTACAGCCGTCAGAGAATGGCTCATATTACGATCACGAGGAGACTTGAGTCCGTGCGCGCCTCTACGCGCCCGTTCGTTAAATCTCCGAATGCGCGAATTTAATTAATCAGGTCGTTCAGTTTAAAATCCTGTAGCATAACAAGGTCTGTATAATATAAAATTTCTTACATTGTTTGTTCTTATCGATTATGATACATCCCGAGTAGAAAAATTAATAGGTCTTTATTAATTTCTATTAATTAATAGGTCCTCTAGTAAGGGCCTGATTATTTTCCCTAACATTATCACACATAATCAGGCCCTAGTAGCGGTAGAAAGACAAGGGCCTACAAGATATGTAACAAATGGTTCAACGGGTCCTTATAAGGCAATATTATAAGGGCCAAGATAATGTTAAAATATGGAGTTAAAATCCATTCTAAGTTTGAGTGAGACATTCATTCTTGCAATTCATTCTTGCAAGAAAAAGTCGAAATATTTTTATTGTTGCTTGAACAAAAATATTCATTCTTTTCATTTCAAGAAATTTAGTCTGTAATTTCTCTATTTCTTTATAACCTAGTTAGAATACAACAAGAATTTTTTATTTTGAAACTATAACATATTTTATAATAAAATATAGCATTTACACATAAAATTCTTGCTACGGTTTTTATTAAAGTTTGCTGCATTTCAAAACGAAGGTAATAATAGAAAAATACTTGGAAGAAACTAATAAATATGACAACTAATAAAATTAATAAAATTGTTTGTTTTTAATTACGGTATAATTAAAAAATTTAAAAAAAAACCAAATGAAGCGCACCTATTAAACAATACTAAACTATGACAATTTTATTACACGTTTCAGATATTATTAATTTTCTGTAACAAAACTTGATTTTGTATATCTAAAGCATTCTTAAAAGAATCTTCTAAGATCCACATCAATGTTAAAGCGTTATTTCTTAAAATCTAAAGCATCCCTAAAAAATTCTTCTAAAGCCCTTATCAGTTTTCCTTCTGCCAAAATCTTATTTATTAGATCTAAGGCATCCTTAAAAAATTCCTTCTCAGCTTTTCCTATCAAGGCCTTATTTCGTAAAATCTAAGGCATCCTTAAATGATTCTTCTAATACCCTTATCAGTTTTTCCTATATCAAAACCTTATTTATTAAATCTAAAATATGTACTCTTAATAAATCCTTCTAAGGTTTTCATCAGTTTTCCTTATCAAAGCCTTATTTAATAAAATCTAAGGTATTCCTAAAAGACCCATCTCGGGGCTTGATGTGGTAATAATGAAACATCCCTTTTTAGAGCATCTTACTTTCAGCCTTATCGGGACCTTATGCTTCATGAGGATGATCCTAACAATTTTTTGCTCGAGATGTTTTAAGAATATAGCGGCCGGAAATAAAAACACGACTCGGCGGGGTTGATTTTGTCCGATTGGACTATCGGTCAGTGAGTTGCGCATTTCCCTTGAAAGATTTAAAACAGATATCATCTATCTGCGTCCGGATTTCAAGCAAAATCGATCGAAACGAGAATCTGACAGAACAATTTCCTTCAAATTAATAGCGTACGTCCTGTATGAAGTACAATCGAATTTTTCTCTTCCCTTTTCCGCAAAGTCGAATAAAGGAAACCATGAATTATTCAACGATACGTCCACATCTCTCTCATATTGCTCTCATATTGTACGTTTGAAATGTTTTAATCGTTGTATTATTTATTATACCCAGTGCACTTTTAAACGAATATTTAAATATTACTTTAGCGGGATTACCTATGAGTGAAATTCACTTTTCAATTTTCCTTCATACAATTTCTCCACAAGAATTTATTAGAAATTTATTAGAGAGATGAGTTGTATCTCTCCTCCAATATATTCTACACGAAATACCTTTTAAATTATTATTATTGTTAAAAGCAACCATTATATGTCGTACATATAATATGGTACATATCCACCCAACGAAATTCGATAAATGTCGCGATGTCAAAGCCGAAACGGAGAGTCATCCGTCGAAATGCTTTTATAAGAAGGACGATGTCTAAAGAGAATTCTCTCCGTATCGCAAACCACAACGTCTCAGTCGTGACGTCTCGTTTCAATTTCACACCGGTCCCTCGAGGTGGTCCGGATGGGCGAGGCCGGTTCGTACGTTTGTCACCCAGATCGGTTTGTTTCTCCGTGTCTTACCAGAAAGTATCTGTCGTCCTGCGGATTATCGAAATCGCGCGAGAATAGGATGAGCGCTCAAGAGAGA